TGAACTCCCAGGAGGAGCCGTTAACAATGTGCACAATCTTAAAAAAAAAAAAAAGACCATTTTACACTCATATAGAAGCTCTTCAAAGAAAAGTTATTAATTCTTCTAATTAAACAAATGTAATATAAAACTAGATGACAAAACAGTATAAGTAGTATTGAAAATTGTCACTAAGTATTGCGACACACTGTCATTGTCAAACATCAGTGGAACAGATTCATAATTAATTTGAAATTATTTGTTACAAATACAATATGCATATTACATTATATTATATTATATATACAGGCAAACAATATATATACATATTGCATTAAATAGACAAATATTCTGATAACTCATCAAATTAATGTTATTTATATTATATATACTTTCCATTTCATCATATTACATAAATATTTATACTATTTATTATAGTATTAACAAATTAATTAATAAATTAAAATAAATTAAAAAATACAACTTTGTATAACACTATATTGATAAGATATTATAATATAGATAGATAGATTTTTTTTATAATATACTTATGCTTATGTCGCTTGATCAAATGAATAAATCTAAAATACATTATATATATATATATATATATATATTAATATTACATTTATATTACATTTCATCATATTAAATTATCATGATTTATAAATATAATTTAGAAAAAAACACACATAACAAATTTATACTATAAATACATATGTTACCAAATGAATAAATGCAAAATAAATACATGAATAAATCACAGTTTAAGTACATGCTTTCGTTCGTATGTTAAAATTGCCCCACTGGCACAGATGAACAGATTAATTATGCATTTTTTTAAATAAAAAGAGAAGTGATCCCCTGTAAGGAAGAGGAAGAGGCGATGGCTCATCATTCCTTCATCCTCTGCGGTTTATAATCGTCTGGTTTATTTTTGAGCACACAGGAAGTCAGAGTTACCTCGAGGGGATTTCCATCAGCACCGGCCCGTCCTGGGTCTCCTCCTCTGGTCTGGGATCGGGGATGGGGATGATGTACTCGTTGTGCGGCTCTCCGTCGGCCTGCGGGCGCGGGGCCGGGTTTGGGCTCAGATCTGAGGATGGATACTGAGGAGGGAAGGCGTTCGGGAACGGAGACGGGACACGCGGCTTCACACGGGCCACCGCAGGGTGATCGCTCTTCAGAAAGCTGTCGCTGACCTGAGAGTATTTCTGAGGAGACACAAGAGGATGCTTTCATCTATGCTTTTACCTCAACTCAAATCAGTTTGATATATTTTTAGACATTTAAATACACATATGTGACCCTGGACCACAAAACCAGTCTTAAGTCGCTGGGGTATATTTGTAGCAATAGCCAAAAATACATTGTATGGGTCAAAATTATAGATTTTTCTTTTATGCCAAAAATCATTAGGATATTAAGTAAATATCATGTTCCATGAAGATATTGAGTAAATTTCCTACCGTAAATATATCAAAACATCAAACCTTAATTTTTGATTAGTAATATGCATTGCTAAGAACTTCATTTGGACAACTTTAAAAGCGATTTTTTTGCACCCTCAGATTCCAGATATTCAAATAGTTGTATCTCGGTCAAATATTGTCCTATATCCTAACAAACCATACATCAATGGAAAGCTTATTTATTCAGCTTT